TAAAATTATGAAGTTTCCTCATCCACCGCGCGGAAACGTAGGGAGGGGAAAACAAACTTTCCCTAAGCCTAGCTGTTGAGGATTACTGAACTACCGTAGTTGCCCGTTTCGGAAATGGCTTCTTCCGGAATCAGTTGGGACGACCATGAACCACCTGAAGCTCACAAGTAGGCGATTGAGAAACTTGCCAGAGTTCTGTTTGCTTTTTTAATTGGGGAATACGGTAATAAAATCGTTAATTTCAAACAGATCTGAGCTAGTTGGTTATACTTAGCTCCAACTACTGACAACCAGCAGTTTGTATGAGGGAACGTGCAATGACATTTCCGGCCCATCACTTGGTTCAGAGGCCTCGTGTTTCAACTACTTTTAAAGCAACCCTACCAGAAGCATTTTCTTCCTGTTAGACTACCCATGACGGATTGGTTCTGACCGACTGTAGCAGGTCTCCAATTAGCCACTTTGGAAAAGAGAGCGAGGAAGAAATCAAAATGATTGTTCAGTTGTTCGTGACGACGTTTGCTTGAATGTCGTTTTCACGCAATTCTTGCAGTCCCTGTACAACGAGCGGTTAACATCAAAGGTTATTTCAAAGTCTTCCATTAAGAAATGTGACCCTCGGTTGCTTAACATCCGTCGAAAGAGACTACATGTCGACTTGCTGCTGGAGTGTTCACTGGTGCTGTAAACGTAGGGAACGTCACTCGCATCGCGCCGCGATAAAAACTGGCTATTCGGTGATATTCATGTAATCACTTTCCAAACCCAGAACATGAACGCCCTTAACAACGATTGCTGTTCAACAGAATTAGTGATCAGGGCTCTCTCCGTGAGGATTGAGTTGCAGTTCTGCTGTCCTCTAAAGCAGCGGTCTCTTTCATCTCCATTAAATGCACGACCGACTGTCATCGTTTTCCGACGAGCGAAGAGACACCCTCCGACGAACTTTATTTCCGGGTATGTCCCTACCTTCGTTGCGGAGGAATCGCGGAAGGTCCAGTTTTGCGTCTCCCTTGATGCAGTCCTTGTTTTGTTCTTGCGATATCAGTACTCGATCGTCGACTGTGTCCGAAGCGCCTAGGAGGTCTGTGTTGAGAATTACAATGGCCACCTATAATTGGCCTTTTATCAACGCACGGCCTCCACATCGCTGGATGCTGCTTTTGCAGTCTTGGACGCCACGAATTTGATCATGTGTTGATAGACAAATGGCAAGATAAGGTGTAAGATACTTGGGTGAAACGAGGTGTGATGAAAGTGGCCATTTTCTAATGGAAGCGAAACTCCGCTTTCGTTTGGCAACAGATATAAGAATATGTCTGAAAGGTGGTATGACAGTTGTGACGTAGCGAAATATAAGGAGGATATCAGTTACAAAGCGTTACAGATGGACTCAACAAC